CATGACTGTGCACCAGTGCACAAAGCAAGGTCCATAAAGACATGGATGACAGAGTCTGGTGTGGATGAACTTGACTGGCCTGCACAGAGTCCTGACCTCAACCCGATAGAACACCTTTGGGATGAATTAGAGCGGAGACTGAGAGCCAGGCCTTCTCGTCCAACATCAGTGTGCGACCTCACAAATGCGCTTCTGGAAGAATGGTCAAAAATTCCCATAAACACACTCCTAAACCTTGTGGACAGCCTTCCCAGAAGAGTTGAAGCTGTTCTAGCTGCAAAGGGTGGACCGACGTCATATTGAACCCTATGGATTAGGAACGGGATGTCACTTAAGCTCATATGTGAGTCAAGGCAGGTGAGCAAATACTTTTGGCAATATAGTGTATATTTGCTGTGATCAGTGGGAATAAAGTAGTTTTAATATGTTTTTAAGTGAGAAAGTCCACCTGAAAACTTAATAATTGCAGTCAGTTCATCCAGATTATCTATTTCTGTCGGAGGCGCTCAGACCCTCACATACCAGCGGTGCGCTGACAGCAGAAATCTCTTCATCAGCAGCCTGTAGGCTGGGCAGCCTGGGGTTCACCGCGGCTGCTGGCAGGTGTTTTTCATCTAAATAATTTTAGCTGCAGGCACCAGGATACCGGCAGCAGGTTTCAGGATTTTAAGTTAATTTAGGAGTGATCACAGCGCTGTGTCATCTGCGATGTGTCTGTCTCACGGCCAGCTGCCAGGTTTGATTAATACTTTGTAATAAATACATGAATAAAGCACAGTCATACTCAGTTTTGCCCCCGCTGTATTTTTAAATACGCAGTAGAGGTATTTAAAGGTAGTAGAGGACTTGTACCTGTATATAAAAAACGCGCCCTATAGTCCGGTGCGCCTTATGTGTGTGTTAAATACAGAAATGGGACACATAACTGAGAGTGCGCCTTTTAGTCCGGTGCGCCTTATGGTCGTGAAAATACGGTACTGACGTTATGGTGAAGGATCTGTGATGCTTTGGGCCTTCCACTCTTCTCAAACGGCTGGAAACAGTGTTAAAGTACCTGTCACCTAGGACTACATCCTATAACTGTCTTCTTTAGATTACTGGATGTCCCAGAGTCTTTCTTCCACCTACATCTCTACACTGGAAAAAAATCTAAATCTAGATTAGTCATTATTTCTTAAAATAAGTGCATTTGTTCTTGAATTGAGAAGGTAAAAAGACAAATTTTGCCAATGGAACAAGACAATTTACATTTAAAATAGGAAAACCCAATTGCATTGTCTTATTTCAAATGCATTTTAAACAAATATCTTATTTTAATTGTAAAAATACTAACTCCAATTAACTCAAATTAAGCGTAAATGCACTTAATTTGAGAAATTTTTACCTATTTCTAGATTTTTTCCCCCAGTGTATGTGCAATATGTGCCAGGAAATGAGAGCAGCTGACGACGGGTCGTGGTCCGATTAGATAAATAAATATTTAATGAACTAACTACATGCTAAGCTAATAACTCCTTAAAGACATCAACAGTAAGATCGTCCAACACGCTATTCCAGCATCAAATCACTATGGAGGCCTTTACTGTGTACAGGCCTCTATAGCGGCAAAGCTGCAGGTTTTCTCTCTGAACTCATAATATCTTTTGAGCAAACATCAATACTGATCCAATCTTCAAATACAGTACCTTACGGGGGTCTACGAGCAAGTTTTTAAAGGTATAGCATCCCTTTTTTTGATTATATTTGGACTTTGCCCTTTCGTAACATTCCTTCCTACGCTTGCTAAAATTTGTTAAGTATTTATCTATTTACTTACCGTTGATATTGTTTCATCTATTACTTTTTTTTTCATTGCAGTATTTTTGTACCTGCATGTATAGAATTCATAAGATTGCAGACATGGTTTTGTTTTGTTTTTATTTTTTTTTATGCTAGTCTTGGTGGTTACATCCTTTTTTTTCCGTATTCCATATATATTCTATGTTCGGCGGAAGCGGTGGAGAAAGAACTTTACATTGTACTATAATTTCACTCATTTTCACATTGTCTATTTTGTGAAAAGTTCAATAAAAAATAACTTTGAAAAATAAATTTAAAAAATCTTCAAATGCAGTACACCTATTATGAAACTGTTGTTTAAACACAGAATATTAATTTGGATGAATTATTAGAACATGCTTTGACCCCTAAAGTGTTCTTAAACTTAAAATGCAAGAACGTTTAAAATAAAATTCTAGAAGAATCAACCAAAAACTGAACTGAAACATCAGTTTAGTAGATCAACATAGAACAGCTTAAAATTAACTTCATGATCACCTAAATTTTGGTAGAAAATATGTTAAGAGACATAAAAAAGAAAGCAGCACCCAGAATTTGAATAATCTAACACCTTTAAATAATCTAAAGATGTGAAAATATCCTTCTCATGCATGATCAAACCTTGCAAACTGTTATTGCAAAAAAACTAAAAGCTACCAGGCTTGAGAAGGGGGTTTGTACAAGTATCAAGTCAAACACCAAAGGCATCAATTACTGTTGTTTATTTTAACTGAAAAGGTGACTTTTCCTTCAGTTTTTTATTGAGGGATCATTTTCATAAAGCTTTAAGAGATTCTATTTCATCCAGTCTTTTAAACGCATTGCCCATACAAATGTATACCACGAGATAACACAACAAAGAAATGTATAAATTTGTGATGAAACTTACTTTATCCGAAAGAGTGTTTAACGAGATAAACTTAAATGACAGCACAGGGATGAGTGTTGCTTTGTGTCCATGCGATTCAAGTTCCTGTCAATTCAGAAAATCACATATTAAACAAACATCATACAGATAATTCTCTTTTCTTTTGAATTTGGGGTATTATTTAATTACCTTAATGTAAGGATCAGGTCCAGACTTCTCATCTCTTGGCTCTTTAAGAACTAATACACGCATACTGGCAAAGAAACACTAATTAATATTAAATAGAAACAAAGAAATAACAATAAAGGAGGTGTTTTAGTGTCAAAGCTAAAAGGGCAAAAGAATCCAGAAAGTCAATGTTTTAAATGATTAGTGGCAGTGGGTGTGGAGGCTCTCATTGCTCAGTTACTCCCTAAAACTGTCACATCCTGATAACAACCTTTGACTCAGCCCAACTGTGCTGGCTAATAATAGCTAGTGCTAAATTCACACAAAATAAAACTGTAAAGCTAACATTTCAGACATGAAACAAGTTCTACCTTCTGTTTGTTTTTGTTTACATCTATGAGTGACAGATTAGCTACAGCTAAAATAAGGTATTGTGTCAGTTATCACCGAATATGTGTGTTTTACATGTAAATCATTAACATAATGTTCGTATCTAAGTTAGAAATAGCAAAAAAATATTAATTTCATAAAATGATCGTGTACCTTCAGCTCTGTCGACCACTTCAATCAACAGTTGAGCAAGTTTATTTTTTAAACGAACACATAGTTAGAAAGCGTAAGATACTGATATATATTCCTCAGTACATCTGGTTTTGTTGATGTCAAACTGCTAATTTTTCCCCCAGTGTTTAGCAATATTATTTACTTCTTCTTTTCTAATATGGCGGATCGAAAGCAACGTTAAGGTGCATACCGCCACCTACTGGACATTAGTGTGTAGCGACATGGACTCACATTCCCCTAAGTTCTATTTTGTGTTATGAAGATAAATGAATGACGCTTTCCTTACTGAATAAATGTCATTTTTGTTTCCTTCCGTTTCCAAAAATCCTTCAAGACTCCATTCATCTCATATTCTTTCTATTATTGTCTTTAAAACATGTGCTAATCAGTACATGTTTTACCTTTTCCCTCCTCATCACTCCCATTTATCAGTATTTTCCTACCAGTTAAATATAGAATATTATTTATGACCAACCATTAATATTTGTTTAGTTTGTAATGCTATACAAACACCTTCCTTTCTCATCATTATCCCCCCCCCCCCCCCCCCCCCCCATTTCTGTTTCTTTAGTCTTTATAACTGATTTCCCTTCACTTTTTTCAAAAGAAATGCATACCCACCTTGTGTGATCAAAGTTTATTTACCCACTGCCAGCTTATGAAGGCCACCATTTAAGGCTGATTTATTAGCTATATATATATATATATATATATATATATATATATATATATATATATATATATATATATATATATATATATATATATATATATATATATATATATATATATATATATATACATATATATATATATATTCCTTTTCCCACACATCCTTTGCTATATAGAATTATCTACATATGTTTTGCGGCAATTGAAAATCTGTTTTTTAGGTATACATCTGTTTTAGATTCCCATTTCATTATAATAAGCCCCATGTCTACATTTATTATAGAGGAACATTGCAAAGTAATTTATTTGTCCTCTAACCAAAACATTTTAAAGCATTTGTCCATATTCCATCCAAATCCAGTACTCTGAAAAGTTGCATATTCCCAACAGTTTTGTAAAATTGTTGATCTCAAACTGTCTTCCTTACTATCTTTATTTTTCCATCCAGTAAACTAATGATAATTTCATTATTCTAATTCCTAATTGTTGCTAAATGAGTTTCCCGTGTTTTGTTTTTTCCAACCGATTACTAATAACCTACATTTTAAACTCGTTGACAAGTTAGGAAGCAGAAGCTTAAGGACATACAAGTGGGTATGGTTCAAAAGCCTGCATGGCCGCCATATTGTGAGTGGCGAAAATTTTTTGACACTAAAAATATGTGCTATAAAGCTTTGTTTTAGGATAATCGGTGTGACTGTCGTGTTTTGCGTCTGTAGAAAATTACATGCGCACAAGTATTACCATTTGCAAACTATTCTACTCATGATTACTATTTGTTAAAAAAGGCAATGTTTGTGAAGTGGTTCAAGTTGATGGTGGTAATGCGCATCAAGAAGTTGCTTGCCAAACGCCATAAAAAAAAAGAAGTGTACTGTAGAAAATACGTCAGTTGCTGTACGTGCTGACGTAACCTTGGTAACGAAGTCGTACGTCGTCTCCTCGTGTCGTTTTCCCTGCCCACCTAAAATACACGAGCGTTTCACTTTTACAGGCAAGCATGGCTTCTTCGGCTAAGAGGAGAGCGGTGGGTTTAGATAAAAATCCTGAAGAGAGCGAGAATAGCTCTGAAGAGAACCCAGAGGATGATGACGAATCTGCCGATGAGGACAGCGATGAAGAGATCAATGAGGTAAAAAATAAAACAACTGTCAGTTAGCTTACATTAACCTTTCAATGACGTCGACTACACAACAAAAAAGCCCACTTTTACATTTTCGCTTTTCTGCTGTGGTGTTATCCTGGTCGTTTACAGTATGGGGATATATATTTTATATGTTGTGCTTATATAAATTCAGGAGGTTTTGGTGGACTTCGAAGCTCACGCCATTTCCCACAACGACCACAACGGCATCAAGAAACTGTTGCAAAGGGTATAAAACATGACTACAACGATAAAAAAAAAATAATAATCGTTAAAGGCCATCATTGATGTCACTTCTGTTTTGTTTGTTCGTAGCTCTTCCTGAAGAGCCATGTAGATATATCAGAGATGACTGACATCATTATCCAGCAGAACCACATTGGAAGCGTCATCAAGGTAGGTTTATCATTACAGTACATGCCTTTAGACTTGTTGATGTTTTCTATTAATCATATTGTCTGTTTGTTTTGCTGCAGCAAGCTGAAGTACCCGAGGACAGCGACGATGATGATCCAGATGAAGTGTTTGGCTTCATCACCATGCTCAATCTTACTGAGAGAAAGGTAATATTACTAATATGGTTTAATTGTATTTACTCCTGGAAGTATGGCAAGAACGTTTTTACCTTGAATTTAATCATTAGCCACACAAAGAGCTGAAGATGAGGACAAGCGGACCACAGATTATTGGTTCCGAGCATGCTTAAATTATTTAATCTGATCGAATGATCTGTGCCTGTATATGCATGTCCCGATTGGATCATTTTATATAGAATCTATGTAAATAGAAATTTTCTGATCAGCTGAGGTTTTTTCTTGGTTCATCTCAGCAAGCAAACAAGCAGCTCTGAAGATCCCCAATAGTTTGCTTATCACCGTGGAATTTGAGTTGACAATGCCATCATACACCTGCTTCAATAAACCCACTGTCATTTAGGCAAGACAGACAGCACTATGAGGATCATGTTGTTTGATTTCTCCAGTGCATTTAACATCATTCAGCCTGACTTACTTTATGAGAAACTTCAGAAGACTCAGGTGGAGGCATGAATAATCATCTGCCTCAAAGATTCCCTGATAAACAGACTACAGTTTGTTAGAATAAAGGGTCAGTTGTCTAATCAAGGACACAGCAGTACTCTCACCATTCCTTTTTACTTTGTACACTTCTGATGTCTAGTACCAGACTGAGTTCTGTCCTCTACAGAAATGCTCTGATGACCCTGCAGTCATTAGATGCATCAAAGATTGACAAGAAGCTGAGTACAGAGAGCTGGTGAACCACTTTGTGGCATGGTGTGGAAACAATCATCTGATCCTGAATGCCAACAAAACAAGGGAGATGATATTAGATTTCAGAAGAAACTGGAACAAGTTGAGCCACCTACAAACCTCTTCAAAGCATTGCTAATTTTGTCCTATGTCAACGTTATTTCTTCTATATTACATTTTTTATTGTTAAAAAGCTTTGTCTCTGTTACTTACATAGGGATAAGATGTAAATCTGTTGCCCAAAACGTGTTTGGTGTGAACGCACCATAATTCTTACTTAATTCATTCATTGTTTATTTGTCAACCCTTCATAATTATCCATTTAGCCATCTGTCCATCAATCCTGTTGCTTATCTCTCAGATCATGTCTGTTCATCCAGTCATTTCTGATAAGAAAATTTTTTTTTATGTTTTATATGATCAGAAACGGGTTAATTGCATGGAAAAGTCCGGGAAAAGACACCACCAGGAACACCATGTCAAAACAAGTGTATGTTTGTTTTTTTATGTAGGGTGTGCAGTCAGTGGAGGAGGTCAAAGATCTGATTCTGGACCAGTGTGAGAAAAACGCTCCTCACAACATAACTGAACAGCTTGAGAAGATCTTCAGCGACACAAGCAAGCCTGTAGGTCTGCTGCTGTGTGAGCGCTTCATCAACGTACCTCCACAGATTGCCCTTCCTCTGCATAAACAACTTCAGTGAGTTCTTCATCTCTGAGCTTTTTTTTTTATTCACTGCTTATTACTTCCTACCTCAAATATTCTTCTAGCGGGTATTCCAGAAGGATAAAAGGAAACCGGTACTGTCTTTCAGGGTAGAAATGGCTGAAGCCCAGAGGACAAATAAACCCAGTGGGAGGTGTCACTACTGCCTGATGATCAGCAAGACCTGCAAAGAGGCAACCAAAAGTATCCCAGCCAGAGGGGGGGCTCCCAAAGAGGAGTACATCTTCATTAATGCAGAGGAGGAATTCTTTCATGAGGTACAGTCAAAACAATTCAGGCTGTGGAAGATTTAAGCTAAGTCAGACCTACAGGTGTTTTTCATGAGTTTATTTTAGTAGTTATAAACAGAGGATTAAAAACTAGCTTAGATTGATTGCACAGTTACAATTATTAGTTTGATTTGGACTTTTAGCTAATGAAAAAGAAACACACTAATAAAATAATATTGCATAAAAAGTGAAAGGAAGTATTTTGGCCATGGTATTGTTTACATTATCATGACACTCTCCACTAAGGCAAATTTATAAGAGCTCATTGTTAAAAGTTTGCTGCACAGTGCTGTAACTAAGGATGCTAATGGAAAGTTTAGTGAAAGGAAAAAAGGCTGTTTGAGGAAACAACCAGCATTAACCACAGCCATTCAAGTTTTTGAGGCTGAATCCAAAACATCCCCCTAACTATCAAGTGTCACACATAGTAAAGCCTCCATTCGCAGCTGTCTAAGGTGCCTGGATTGTAAGTGATATAAAAGTGATGGGATGACCTCTTCCCTCCAACGGAAAGGGAAAGCAGTCGTTCCTATGGCAACACGGTGATGCCCCGTGTGTGGCTGTAGCTCTGTGGTGCAGGTTAACATAACTTTTAACATTTTCTCACAAATAAATCTATCCCGTCAAATAAAACCATTTCAAAGAGGACCTTCCTGTTGGGGATTAATTATGTCTTTTTTTATTTTTCCTAAATTGTTTTTTTTTTTTTTTTTTTTGTCAGTGCGATGAAGAGGCAGCAGATCTTACATTTGAATGCACATTCGCCATTACAACCGATGACAAATTCCAGCGAACCTGCTACCATGCAGACTCGCTATTTAAGGGCTGACCATTCCACTCACCCTACCAGCTATGTGGTTTGGGACAGCCCATAATGTGGCAGACCCTCCGGGAACGCACAAGCAGGGGGTTAGTGCTTTGGGTTAGTGTTTAGGAGCCGGTTTGGGATTCAGCCGGAGCAGCTGGAGTTGTTGCTTCAGAAACCATGGCAAGTAAACAGATATTGCAGACTGATGTGTAGTTACATTTTTTTTTTTCAGAATCTGTTTTTCAAGCTTTCATGCTATCCAAGTCATTAAAATAAAAATAAATAAAACCTTAAAATACTTCAGTTGATAATAAATCCTCAAGTTTTATTTTTTTAAGTGAATTACTTTAAATACATTTCCAATTCATTTCTAACTCCTGATGTTGTTTCCTTATTTTTTTGTGTGTTTTACAGCAAGCTATCGTAAAGTTCCACTATTCAGTCCAAGAGGATACTGATTCCTGTCTGAGTGGCAGGTGGTCGTTTGATGACGTTCCCATGAAGCCTTTCAGGACCGTGATGGTCATGCCTATGGACAGAATGCCAGCTGTAATGGAAAAGCTAAAGGAATATCTAACTGTTTGAACAGAGACTCTAAATGAAGACCTGCAGTCATGGAAATGATGCAAGAGTCCTTTGGGTTTTGGTTCAAACATCAACTGCTTTATCTCACATTTAATTTTGTGGTTTAATAATTAAAACATAAAAAAATAAACAGTCATTTTCAGTGACGGGCAGAAACAATGCCAGAAGTTACAAATGACTGAATCCAGATTCAGAAACACATCAGTTGTTTAAATGGTTTAGTCTACCTGAACCGTTTTCAAATAAAGATCCTTTAATATACTTTACAAACACATTTGGAGAACCTAATTCCTGAAAACCCAATCTTATGGCTATATCTGCTGATCTAAATGGGGAGATGGTGACCTACTGCTTATTGCATAGAGCTTTGAATCCTGAGGTTCTGAGTTAGAGCCCCACAGGTTGCCACTCAGGCTGCTTGAGCGAAAAAAAAAAGAGAAAAAAAATGGCAGGAGTGACAGCCTAGATAGGGCACTAGGGGATGGGTTAAATGCAGAGGGTGAATTTCGTTGCTCCGTGGTAGTGTAATGTCAACATAAAAAGCTGGAAAAATGAGAGCAGATACATTTCTGCCTTTCAGTACCTTCACTATTTCGGAATACTGTTCCTCTGGCAGCACATTTGAGTATAACATTTATCATAACCCCAAATTCTGATGGCTAGGATAGGTTTCAGACATCCTGTGATTTGTACGTGCCTTAAAGAGCCAGAAGATGGTGAACTAAAGGTTTTCTTGAATTTATTTTCTACATTTAGCAAAGTATTGCAATAGATACTGCAGCTAATGCTTCCTACATTTATTCTACGGATTAAAATCAGGGTTCCTGCAGGACATTAAAAGTCATTAAATTATTATTTTTTTAATTAAGGCCTTAATTGGCATTAAAATTCATTAAATGTGATTGTCATGGCAGTTAAATGCTTCATAAAAAATGAAAAAAAAATTTGTCAAATATATCAGATTTAACTGGTTCCACCTGTTTGCTCCTGCTCCTGGTTGATCCTAATGCAGCCCGTCAATGGTTAAGATTACGAAGGATTTGGGCGTGTGTTTATATATATATATAGATATATCTATATATCTATATATATATATATGAGAGTAATAGATACCTATTGATGGCATTAAAATTATTTCTAAGAGCATTAAAAAGCATTAAATTAGAGTTCGTCCTTCCTGTATAAACCCTGAAAATAGAATACTGGTACTGTTTCATAATTGTAGTAAGTCCTGATTCTGTGGAGGGTTTACAAGACATCTCCACAAATGTTTAGGCTACAAACAACACAGCCCCATTCCATATACTGTGATACAAATATTTTAAAAGTCTAACCTGTTTTTTTTGTTTTGTTATGTTTTTAACTTTTGCTCACTGAATCACACATTTATCAGTCTGTGTCTCAGATGCACAGCTTCTGTCAGCATCAATGCTTCCATTCGTGGTTTGTTTCTTTGAGCAATGTCTGGAATCATCAGCGTTCAGCATTTCCTGCAGTACGTCTTTGCTTTCACTAGGGGGCAGATTGTAGAAGAAGTATAGTGGTGCCATTTCAAGGAACCTAAAACAAAAGCATAGGTCAAAAATATATCCAACAGAATTTAGATCAAATAAGACCGACAGCAGCTGTATGATGCTTACAGATAGGATAACTTATGTTTCCTACACATCCAAGTAGTTTTCTTTTGCAGATAAATAAAAATAAAACTATGCCCTAAAAAGAGTTTTGTCATTTAAAAAAAAAACAAACAGTTAACTACCTTTTTTTTATATATTGATTTATGTCAATTTGATATACTCCTTTGAAACAACAAACTGATGCCTTGATTTAAACAGTTTATCACTGTTTTGACTAAATGAAAACCCAATAAACAGAAAAACTGCTATTTAACTTTGTGCGGTCTTGATGTAACTTCAAAAATGGTTGAACTGGACCTTTGGTGTGAAATGCAACAAAAAAAAAAATCCTATTTTGTGAATTTTTTTGTTTTTTTTTAGGACAATAAAACTTCAACTTTACAGAAGCTGCTGTAATTCCAGGCCGGCTGCCCTCAAACTTTCTCCTCAGAGATCATTCACTTACAGATTCTAGATAAATCTTTGATGCCACATAAAATACTGAAGAGCAAATTCAGCAAGTAGAAGGTGACAAATGAAAAAGTGAGCACTGAGGCCCAGGAATAAAGAGTCAGGAAAATGTAGGATACTCATTGCTTATTTAAAAAGATTAAGATTTATAGATGGCTAAATAGTGTCATTTGTTTGCCACAACCTATTCTGCACTCCAAATATAAGCAATCATGTTTAGCATTGTGTTGCAGTATTTTTCTAAAAAGTTCAAGGTAAATTGCTTCTTCTAAAATGCAGGGAATGTTATAAAACTGCAGGCAAAAAATAGTTTGACATTTTGAATTGCTTTGGAGGTATTAGGATCCACATAGTGCATATACTGTGCAGAACCAAACTTACTTTTGAGGGGAGATTTCAGAGACTGTTTTGATGCTGTTGTGTTCAGATGGGGCATATTCATAAAAGAGAACCCACTCAGGCACTCCCAGTTTCTGTGACTGGGCTCCGTAGCTGGAAAACGGGTGCAGCTGGGCCACATGCTTGTGTGTCAGAATGAGATAATTCCCTGATCCGTCCATGTCTCGAGCAACCTCAAAACAAACAACAAAATCGAAAGACTTAGGCTGTGGAATGCAAAGGGAAAACACTCAAATGCTTTTCTATCCTACCTGCATGAAGAATCCAGCCAGCAGAGCTCTTTTTATGTTGTCAGTGTTTGTTTTGGTTCCAAAGGATGGTTCAGATATGGGAAGCTCGATTCTGTTCAGGGTGCCGGTCAGCTCTAACCTAATGGTGTCAGCGATCATCAGAGCAGAATAATCCAGAAAGCAATCCTGGCACCAGGTTTTAACATTTAAGTCTAACAAAAAAAGAAAAAGTACAGTGCAGTTTGATTGTCATTTAAAATAATGTAACATGTAGTGTGGTGATTAAAAACTCAACAAACTCTATTTTCTCACATAAAACTAAACAAAAAATATCTGAACTCAACTGGCAGAGGCGTGCACAGACATTTTGGGGGGCAGGTGCTCAGGAGGGGGGAGGGCACTTTTTAGCGCACGTGGAACACTTAATTATAAAAAAAGAATACACACATGTTGAATGAAATTTGACTTTAATTTGTAACATTCTCTAAACGTGAGTTTGCAATGGAAAAAAGTCACACCACCAACAGAACAGACAAAAGCTTACTTCTTTCATCTGCTTGTTTTCCCTCACCCATCTGCTCTCCCTCACCCATCTGCTCTCCCTCATCCATCTGTTCTCCCTCATCCATCAGTTCTCCCTCATCCTGGTCTTTTTCTGTCTCTGTGTCTTCCCTGAACTCTTCCTCATCTCCTGTCCTGGTAGATGTTGATGGTAGAGCTTCCCTGCTGTGACTGGCTACAATATAATAATAATAACCATCATGACAATAATAATGATAATAATAATAATAATAATGATAATAATAATAATAATAATAATAGCTTTAACAAATATGCCACATTAGTTTAAATAATGCGCTATTAGGGCAACATGACTGGAAGTCTTGTCACGTGGATATGACTTATGGTAGCCTACAAAATAATAGCTATTTTAATACCTGCTGATTTTGTACAAACCACTTAAAAATAAAATGTGAACAGCTTTTAAGATTTTTCAATACCATTAACCCTCCTTTCTTGGCATTGTGCTGCAATTACTAAATCAATATACAATTAAGACAATAAAGAGACCAAATTGTGTTAATTTATGTTGCCTAACAAAACCTATACAACAGAAAACGTTTGTCTTAACACATAGATTTGTATGGAAGGATTAGGGCCACTGCAAAAAAAAAAAAAAGTTGACTGATTTTTAAATTTTATTTAAAGGGTTAGGGTTAAAAAGTCAGAATTCTGACTTTTTTCTCAGAATTCAGTCAGAATTCTGAGATTAAAGTCAGAATACTGAGCAAAAAGTCAGAATTCTGAGAAAAAAGTCAGAATTCTGAGAAAAAAAGTCAGAATTCTGAGATTAAGGTCAGAATTCTGAGATTAAAGTCAGAATTATGAGAAAAAAGTCAGAATTCTGAGATTAAAGTCAGAATTATGAGAAAAAACTCAGAATTCTGAGATTAAAGTCAGAATTCTGACTTTTTTCTCAGAATTCAGTCAGAATTCTGAGATTAAAGTCAGAATACTGAGAAAAAAGTCAGAATTCTGAGAAAAAAAGTCAGAATTCTGAGATTAAGGTCAGAATTATGAGAAAAAAGTCAGAATTCTGAGATTAAAGTCAGAATTCTGACTTTTTTCCCATACTAAACTGAAATAAAATTTAAAAATCAGTTAACTTATTTATTTTTTCAGTAGCCCTAATCCTCTTCCGTAGATTTGCAATTGCAAACTCTACCGAAATTATTTGCAGCCTATGTGGTCGTCCTCACGTTATCTGTCATTGACTTGGGCTACAGTGTAAAACTTTCAGAATCAGGTTTATTGCCGTTGTTAGTGAAGGAGTTCACAAACTAGGAATTTTTTATGGTACAATCGTGCAACATGAAAGATATAATATGGAATAGGTAAATAAAATTATAAAAATATCTAAAAACTGTGGGTATACGTCATGCAATAAAATAGACTAATATATACACTTAGGATAAAAATATGGTTATAAAATATAAAAAGTAAAATAGCATCTTACAAGGAGACAACTAGTTTATCAGGTGACCAATCGGCAAAATGCTTGTTTGCTGCTGCTGAATGAGACATTTTAATGCACAACAAAATGATTTTGCTGGATCTGTATATTACCTGGCTAATGGGACACGGGAGAAGCAGTCTGTCAGCGACCGTTCCTGCTATCTGAAGACGCTTACTGAACCGCTATGATGCTGCGCATCTAGCATGCCCCGCAGGCGACCGCGCGAGGTCACGTGACAAAGGAAGAGAGATACAGTAGGCTGGTCGGCTGGTGGCTCATTTCGGGGCATTGTTTCAGTCGTTTTTAATGGCTCAGGTTTTCAAAAGATAATTTCAAAACCAACCTCAGTAAAATCTTAATATATTAATAATAATAATAATAAAAAAAAACGAGTTTCAAAAGGGCATTTTCTTTGAAAAAGGGCAAACTTCCTAGTGCTTTAGCACCACCTAGTGTCTATGTATGCACGCCCCTGTCAACTGGTGAGTAAAGCAAGAGTAAAGTTGTATCTTACACTGGTTCCTTTGTTTTTCTTTAAAGG